TCCCTGGTCAGCTCAAGATGATAACCCCTGTTATATTAGCAGTGTATCAGAGGCGAAGAGGACGACGGACACCGACAATCTGTGCTCTTTCATGCGGCTTTAGTCAAGGAAATGCTAGTAAAAAGAAAGAAAAGGGACGAATACTTGCCTGCCGCGGTGCTCCTTCCATCCAAGCTCAGTTATAAACTGACGTGTCCTTGATGTAACATGGCATAACACGTGTCATTGAGCTCATTCCTTGTTATACTAACATTGTGATAGGAACTCCCCCCCCCCAAGTACGTTTTCACGTCGTAGTGTTATCTCTCTTATTTATACAACAGTAACTTGGTGTGTCGTTTGTCGGTCTGTCCGTCCGCAAAACTTCGTGATTACGATAAAGGATAAAGGGAATGATATGGAAAACCCAGCCCTACTCTACATTTCCTTCTTATATGTAAGCAGTAAATTACTGGTTAGTATGAAGGTTAATGGAGTAGAATGAGTACTGCGGAGTGAAGTGAGTAATGTGCAGCGAAGTTGGTACTTCAAAACTAAGATTTCGATCTGTACTGGCATCGTGTTATGTATGTCTGTACAAAAATGGAGTTGGAATGCAGTTGAAAGACCTCCGCTCTCTTTCAACATTGAGCGCTAGAGCGCAGATAAGGAGGTTAGCCTGCTCAGAAACGTTTCATAGCCGAAACATACGGTTTTTTGAGCTAAGCCTCAGGAGGGAAGGAATACCGGGGTGGGTGAGTCAATCGAATATTCAACTCATATGCGATCCTGGCTTCCAGCACCGAACCTTCTCTGCATTCAAGTCCTCAGTGCTGTATAAAGAGCGGAGGCCTTCCCCCCCCCCCCCCCCCCCCCCCCCCCCGAGCATCTCTGGCGAGTGGTGTTGGTCAGCTCATGTGATAGCAACTCACCGAGCATTTCGAAGGATCGTAGGCCATTGCCCATTTGGGCTCTCAACAGCTGATAGTGGGTCAGTATGTGTGGAGGTGTGCGTGTGTGTATGTGTGTCGGAACGTGCGTGTCGGTGTATGCCAGTGTAGAGGGGCATAGCAGTAATGGGACCTATCAAAGAGAGTGACATTTCAGGAAAACAATTTTTGTTGTTATTTGCTGTCGTATTATGATCATCACGCATTATGTTTTGCTGTTCGATGAAGGGTCATCTTCCTCTTGATTCCTACACAGCTGCTACAGAGCTCAACAGGTTACCAATAAAAGGGATATCTTGTGCAATGGTCCTTATTGATGGAGATGACAATGATTATTAATGAGAGTCAGCAGAATCGCCCGGCTCACGGAGGGCTCTCCTCCTTCTTGTGCTAAAGGCACAGTTTCTCCTCCTTCTTGTGCTAAAGGCACAGTTCACGATAATTTTGGTTAATTCAGATTATGACGAAAAATGGAAGTTAAGACGGAAAATAGTGCGATGAAGGCGAGATTCGGTGTTTCCAAAGTGAGAAAAGGCTTCGAAAAATCGTTAAGAAGGGGGCTGGTCGGGAATGAGACCGAACGAAGAGTGAAGAAGAACAGAAAAATGAAGAGGAATGGGGTGTTTTGACGAGTGTGTGTCATTGCGTATGTGTAGGCCCTGATACGAGTAGCTGAATACAAAAATCAAAAATCCATTCACTCATAAGCACAAGTTAACAAAAAAAAACCTTGGTCACAGCAGAAATAGCCCATCTTTTTCAACTTTTAGGTTGAAAGTCAGAATAAAGATCGCAGCAGCAAAAAGAATAATAGTGAATGAAAGAATGAGAGAAGAACATCTCCTCATCTCTCGGCGATCAGCTGATTGTGTGTGTGTGGGTCCTAGAATGAATACTGTAATCAGTATCGCCTCTACAGCAGTCTGACGTGACATCGATCGAGGGGCGGGAATTTTGGGGGTGACATCGATCGAGGGGCGGAAATTTTGGGTGATCCGTTGACGGGGCTTTCACAATGCCCTAGCTGTTGAGTTTCGGAGCACTACCGCGTCCTCCCTGTTACCCTTAGGAACCACAGGGTATTCCTAAGGGGGATCTCAGAAACCATTTTACCGTGAACTGTGCCTTTAAGATCTCTGATCAAAGAGAACAGGAGCTAATGATTTCCAGCGTTTTCCCTCCCCCACGCATCCTCGGGCTGGACCTAGCTCAATCACCTTCTACTACCTACCATCGGTGTCTTGAATCTGCCGCCTGCACTCGTTCCAAATTTGAACGGCCCAGATTAAAATCAGCTATCTTCGCGTACGTCCCGCATCCTGTCAAGTCATGCCATTTCCCATCAGCATTCCCATACTGTCTTTATTCCAAGCAAATTGGAATGCCTCGAGTCCAAACTGCCAATTTTCAAGCACAGCGGTCGAGATTTGCCACTTACCAACAGTGTTCCCACCATGTCAATCCTGCCAACCGTGGGCGGAATTCAGTCCTGACACCACCTTTACTCACCTTTCTGTGCAGAACAACTGAATAAACATAAAAGTTCAGCGAAATATCAGTAGGGGAATAAATAGTTTCAAGTATGTAGTCTAAATCAACTGTTTGGGTGTTTTGTGTGCCATTGCACACATGGCGTCAAATTCCTGTACTTCCGCAAAATTTCACTTAACCACCGTTTCCCCGTTATGAAACCCGTCCTACCACTCTTTCCTCTTTTTTTTCGGCCGTTTGTTTTCCTTTTTCTTGCTGTTTTTAGCGTTTTAGGCTTTACCATTGTCCTAGTATAGGCCTTACCTACCACTATCTCTGAAATACCGGATACCCCCAAAATTGTCCTGACCTGTGCCTTTAAGTGTTGCCATTCGCCGCCTGTACTCTGTCCAAACTTGAACGCTTCAGGTCTACGATTCANCACCTTTCTGTGCAGAACAACTGAATAAACATAAAAGTTCAGCGAAATATCAGTAGGGGAATAAATAGTTTCAAGTATGTAGTCTAAATCAACTGTTTGGGTGTTTTGTGTGCCATTGCACACATGGCGTCAAATTCCTGTACTTCCGCAAAATTTCACTTAACCACCGTTTCCCCGTTATGAAACCCGTCCTACCACTCTTTCCTCTTTTTTTTCGGCCGTTTGTTTTCCTTTTTCTTGCTGTTTTTAGCGTTTTAGGCTTTACCATTGTCCTAGTATAGGCCTTACCTACCACTATCTCTGAAATACCGGATACCCCCAAAATTGTCCTGACCTGTGCCTTTAAGTGTTGCCATTCGCCGCCTGTACTCTGTCCAAACTTGAACGCTTCAGGTCTACGATTCACACACCCACAAATACACACAGACGAGCCAACAGTCACATATAGCGCGTTATATATGAATTAGGTTGATGGTTAATTACTGCGGATTTTTTCGCGGCCTCTTTTCTCTCGGTAAAATCAAACTTTTGAATTCGAGATTTTTGTAGAAATAATCTTCTCGCTTTCCTTAATAGAAATATGTCTAGGAAGTCATCTACATATACGCCACATTATGCTCTATTACTTCGAGAAATGTTGGAAGGCGGCGCACTCATAACGTGATCTCAACGAACTTCTCGGCGATGGAACAGTCAGCTAAAGCCGAATAAAGCATGGAATCTGCTTCTGCGGTCGCCTTATTCACCGAACTCCTATCGATTATTACGTTGATCGCCCGTTGAAAAATTTGTTAACGGACAGAACTTTCGACGAAGTGGATGGCTTGATGGCTAACGTCAAGGTGTGGTCGCCTCCAAGAATCGAAACTTTTTCACCTGTGGAATCCGACCGCGTAGCAAATGGAAAGCACTGCGTGACGTAAATGGTGGATGTGATCCGTGCAATTACTTGAACATGTCTTTGCTAGGTATTTCTATCGCTTCTTCAAGTAAAATTTGTTGAAAAGAATCCGCAACAATTATGCATCTACCTAATAGTATAGAAGTGCAGGTTAAGCTAGCACACCAACTTTGTCACAGGAATGAGGGCTTCTCGCTGTTATTCGGGCTTCTGCAAGATACCACTATCCTGCGCGAAAGAGTCAATCAATGATTGAATGTGTGTTCTGCCAGTTCTGTACCTCTGTAAGCTACAGATCCTTTCTTATTTCTTACATGACTCAAAGGAACGAAGAACAAAACTTTATTAAGAAAATGCAAAAACATATAGTACGCTTCCCCACGGAAAACATATTGGCACAGAAATTGATCTGCAAGTCTGTTCCACTGGTAATGACAGCGTGTACAACATTAGCGCCATTGGCTCTAATTGGAACGGCAGTGGGAAATGGGAAACAGCTAAGGGACCCATGTTGAAAGCATAAGTTTGACAGTATAAGTGTATTACATCACACGGATGCAAGAAGCATCATGAAATTGGATTGGGAGCTGGGCAAGACTCTAAATCATGTACGTCGCTCGCAGAGTATAATAGTACGTAGGGTATAATAAGTGCACATCACAAAAAAAGAAAGAATAAGGAGCAATTTGGACAGATCTTAAAGTTCAATGAGAACAAGAGGCTTCATTTTGTCCTAGATAAATGCTATACGTATATTTATATTAGTTGACAGCATGGGGTACTGAAAATCATGGCTAGTGGCCTACAAATCAATCGCGCGGCTCACGGAGGGCTCTCCTCCTTCTTGTGCTCATCTCAGGAAATGATACTTTCGGAGCATGAATGCCGCTAGAATTTTGCAAAATGTACCTGCTTTCTGGCTTACACGCTCCATATGTTTAGGTAACTGCCCAATGAAATCACTCAAAATTTTGAAGCCGTTTCAATGGTGTTCTTATTGAAGCGCAAAGATGAGAAACAATATAGCAGCCCATACGATCCAGTGTAAGGCCTTTTGCAGCTAATTCCAAAAATAAACTTGAAAGCAATAGACATTGTAAATCACAACGAGTTACTGCGTGGCCAAATGATCTCGCATGGCGGCTTTCTTCTCAGACGACTAATGATTTAGTACATTCGCTGGGAAAGGTGCAATTGACCTCGATTTTATATAAATATTAGACTACCAGTAAAGTTATTAAGATCTGCAACAATGTGTCTATGGCATAATATGGAACTTGTCGCGTTGCTTTTGGGCATAACACAGAGAAGCAGCAATTATGGAGCAACAGAGCACTATGAGTCCAGCGAGAAGCCAGAAGCCAACCAACGGCACACAAACAGCTGACGAAGGCGCTCCCGACGATTGGGAATGGAGGGCCTCCGGTAGTTCGGCGGCTGAAATTTTGAAAAAATCGTTTTGAGCGTTTGAGGGAACGAGAACAAAGCGCCAGAAAAGTTGATATTTCTGAAGAAAAACAATTCTGAATTGTCTAACTTTACACTACGCAGCAGTTAATTACTGCACGATTCTGCAGCATTTTCTAGCTCTACTCACAAGATCATCCGTTCTGATGTGAGCTGCCTTTACTTGAATAGAGCACCTCTATGGTGTTTTTTTTTTCTAACATTAACAGTGAAAGCTACCGGTACCTTTTTTCAACGTCTTCACATTTCTCTCTTATTGGTTCCTTCGCGGGACGGAACATCCACCCAATTATGGATGGACGCGGCAATCCGCGCGGCGGAAGCCGTGGTCATTTGAACGACTATGGCGCCTACTGTTGCGCCCAAAACTTGACGTAGAGTTCTTTGGTAGTACCAGCCGACCTAACTAATCTACTCTACTCCAAGTTTGAGCACCAATAATAGGCGTCAAAGCCGTTCGAATCGTCGCGTATTCGCCACGTAGTTAGGCGCGTAGCTCCAGAATTGGGTGAAAGTACCCCCACCCGTTTCTCTCCATGTTCGAATATGGAATTTGTTTATGAAAGTATGCAACAGATAAGTTTCATGCACCTTTGTAACAGGGCGCCGAATTTCCCAAGCGTGCATAACGGCACATTTTAGCAACAAATATCTTGTTAAATTTATTCTATCCAAAAACTCGACGAGTTAGAAAACCAACAATCACTTTCAGCGGATTGCGCTCCCTGGTTTTCTGTTGTGGCTATGTTCTTGGAATCTTTTAGCGCTTCTCTAACTTCACATATGAATTTAGGATGATGGAACGCTGCTTAGCCAGGAAATCACATTTGTTTTGAAGGAAATTATCAGAAATCATTCAGTTCGAATGCTCAAAAGTGAATGAAAAGTTCGGTAAGTTATCAAAACTCACCTATGTCTTTATCGATGATGGTCAGCTCCGGTGAGGTGATGTCTACGTCGATTGCTTCAGCTTCTCTTCGTCGCATCTCTCTTTTCAGCTGTACGACATCGCTCTCGACAACGTCACCGTCATGCTCGGGGATGTGGTTGGCCCGAATCAGTGACACCGGTGTCGCCCGGTACGGTTTCAAAATTTCAATACCTACAGCGAGTAAGCAATGCTTGATTCTATACCTCAGTATGTATATGAACGTGACTATTTAGAAAACTGACCTGAGCCCTCAATGTCGCCCGCCATTGTTTCGCTCCCGCTTGGCACATCAACGTTCTTGCGCAGGTAGTCATGAAGCGTGTCTGGTGTAGGGAATCCTGTTGCGCTCCAAACTCCCGCAGTCGTCGCCGATGCAGAAAAGCTCTCAGTAACAGAATCTGAAAAATCATTGCAAGCCTTCGAAAAAATAACACATAATACTGTCAGAAGTTCTGCTACTGAGTTGTTTTCTTTAACTCTTCGCGAGGTTTGTATACAAGCTTTATTAGGCTGACGTTTCGGCGGAGTCGCCTTCTTCAGAGCCTAGAAAGATCATAACAATTCATGACTATCCGACCAAACGTCTCCACTGCCACACTGAAGTTCGAGACCCCCAGTACACGCAGGTGATTAAAGGAGAACCACTCACCGTAGCTTGGTGGATTCTTCGAAACCAACCAGCAATCGACGATGGTAATAATCGACCAGTCTCAGCTGGGGTAGGTCTTCATTCAGAGTCTCTATGGGAAGGCCAGCTTTATATAAGGCCGCAGCTCCCGCGTGATTGCGAGGCATTCTTCCCTACGATTCATTTTTGGATCAGTGACTTGTATCCAAAATGCCTCGAGGGTTTTGCGCGCGCATAATTGCGATTCCTGTGCCACGACCTCCACGGTGACTTCAAAAACGCCTCCGTTGTGCTTTTGTACTCGATGACTCCCTAAGGCAGTGGACTCGTTCAATCGCTTCATGCCATCTATGTGCTCCTTAACCCTTACGTGGAGTGGTCTTGCCGTTTCTCCAATATACTCTTCCCCACAATCACGGCAAGTAATTTTGTAGACCACCCCAGACATGTTACAATCACCTTCCCTTCCAGCCGTACAAACCACACAGTTTGAGGTTGTACATAGGCGATCGTACAGCCTGTTCCGAACCAGGCGCTTCTTCAGATTGAGGGGTGGTACGTTAACAATAGCAACCACATTTTCCAAGCCCGATCTCTTTAGACACTTCCTAATAGTGGCACTGACCTCATCAGAGATAAATGGTAATACAAAAGGAATCTTCCCATCGATCGAAGTATTACCATGTCTGAGGATCACGCCACCAGAAGGTGCTCTTCTTGTGGTTGGAAAATT